GTGAAAAAAAAAAAAAAAAAAGATAACCAATCACCCATCTGATCAGAAGATGGACCAATCTATCCAATTTATTTAAAGATCTTACAACACTGATAAACTTTCCGTACGTGGTAAAAGGAGGGTCAGGGGGGACCTGACATCACCCCACCCACCACCCCCAGGTCTGCATTTTATATTATGCAAATTATTTAGTCCCTCATACGTTTCTATACTGTCGATTTTATCTGTCTTGCGAAATGTGATCTTGTCTCTATTAATCAAGCTATTGCTAATCGGATCTGTAGCTTGCTGGACAAAATGGATTAATTATTCAAAGAGAGGCAGCGGCGTCAGTTTCAATAACGCGTATCATCCTCGAGTTATTGTTGTCATCACTTCGGTACCTGCTCCTGGCCCAGGATGATAACCCCTCCTGGTTTAATCGGGTGCCACGCTGCCAGGTTGTCTCCTGCCCCTTGCTTTTCCCCATCCTGATAGGCCTCCCACTGTCCATCCCTGGTGGTCCAGGAAATGCAGATGTGGTGCCACCTTCCGTCACGAACCTCCAACGGCAGCTGCGCAACCTTCACAGTTCAAAAACAAAGCCCATGAGATGGACGATGACAGTTTGGAAAAACAGTGATGACTCACCTTGTCATTGATGAGCAGCTCAATTGGGTTATTGCCACATTCGATCAGCACAATCTCATTGGCTTGTCCGGGCACACCGTAGGAGAAAGGCGTCCCGATGCCCGGAGAGGCATTGGACTTGATCCACATGCAAAGCGTGAACGCATACATCTCGGGGAGGCTCTTGATGATGCGGCCGTACAAGTAGTTTGTACGCTGCGGTAGGGAGAGCTTGAACTGCTCAGGGGTCTTGAAGTCTTCCCCTCCTGTCCATATAGAAAGGGCAGAAGGGTCACCAGCACGTTAAGATTTTTGATCGAACAACAAGGGGTGAAAACAAAGCTACTCAGAAATGGGTTACCAGGTGATCAAATTAGCCTGTATGGATACATTTCTTACCAACATTTTTATTTTAATGTATGAGAAAGCCCCCTGTCACATTTGCCTGGGTCACGTTACCTTTCTCGAGCTCACTTATCCTCTCCACCAGGGCGTTGAGCGTACTTTCCGTCTTCAGCCGGTACGCCGCTGTGGCGTTGGACAGCATGCTCTTCTCCTCCTCCAGGTTGCTGACTTTCCTCAGCAGCTGTTTCTCCAGCTCGACCAGGCGACGCTGCAGCAAGTCACGCAGCTCGCTGGGGAAGGACGCGCCGGATATGTTGGCCCGCATCTGCTGTTGCTAAAGATGGATGAGCAGGAAGTGGACACAGGTGACCAGGACACAAGTAGCGGCGGGAGACGCTTTTGACTTCACAGCAGGATTCCACATGCATGTCTGACTCGCTTCCAAATGTCCCTATCGTAGAATTGATTCAGGGACCTGTTGCGACAAGGCTGTCTTTGCTACTCACTTGTTATTTGGCTGTTGGGGATTTGGATGTCTGTATTTATGCGATCATTGGATATAAAACAAAGATAAGATGCAATGATTGAATTATTATTTAAAAACAAGGGTGCTATTAGATTGTTTGACTTACAACAGCTTTTTATTTTTAATATGTGTGAGTTCCCCCGAACAATGATTCGATGTCATCAGTGATTGCTAAAATTTCCACCAATTTCTTTTCCTGTTATATTCATGAGACTTGCACTCAAATCGCTTCTTCTCACGCACTGAATCAAGCAAACTTAATCATTTGACCAACATTGGGGGTGGAAAAACTTGCACTTTGTATTTTGGGTTGAAAATATATCATTTGTGATCTTTTCTGACGAGGCTCATATAGGCATGATTAAACCATCTGGCAGTTTTAAAACCTAATGTGGCCCTTGGGCCCAAAACTCTGCACTCTAGTAGCGACATGCACCGATGTGTTAATTTATGTATTAATTTAGCACAAAATCAGAGTGCTTTGTAGTGGTGAATAACTAGACTGCATCATAATGAGGGTCCACCCCCCGCCCCCCTCCACTTGTTGAAAAACATTTTGGTTACCTAAATTACAACTGTGGCAAAATGTAACAATGCCTCAACATGATATTTCAATTTTACCATATCACCACAGTAATATTCCTAATCACCCCAAGTTGTTTTCGGGTGGGAATGGAATGGAAACAAGAATGTATGCATCCAAATATAAATATAGGAAATATTCAAATTGATAAAATAAGAATGTAAATATCCTGTTAAGGCATATGTGACGTCTGACTCGCAGTGATAATGACTTTATCTTCTGAGGTTGTGGCTCATCTCATCTAATCTCACACAAAGTGTTGATCCCAGTTTTACATCTTGAACCGAATTTGAAACCGTGGGCGTTCTAAACAGGTTGATGAGTACAAAACTGGGCCATTTACGCATGCATTGAGGGCATTGTGACGAACATATACCTCCAGGTTCTCCAGCCGGTCCTTGAGCCCCTGCATTGTTTTGCCAAGATTCTCCACAGTGTCATTTGGATCTCTGGGGACGTCTCCCATTGTGTTTTGCTTCACTTTGCCCCAAGGAGCCCCTTTTTCGTACTTTCGATCATCGCTGGTTGACGCGCAGAGGGACAGCTTGGTGGTCAGCTCGTTGATGGTGCCGAGTTGCTTGGAAATGGTTTCTTTCTGCTGCAGGATAGTCTCTCGAAGCTGCATGACGGTGTTGCGGAGCTCCTCTTCCTGTCCCCCGTTGTTGTTGATTTCGGGTAATAAGGTCACCGGGCAGCTGGTGTCGCCGACGAGGGGCACCGCTCGGCAGATGTACCGCTTCCCGTCGTCCGCTTGACCGCCGGCTTGGTGCGGGCAGCCCAGTGCGCAGAACATTACAAAACCGTAAAAAAGTGAAAACATACCTGCGGAGGATCCCTACAAGCAGATAATAGCAATGATAATAATAATAAGGACTAACACTATGAATCCATCCAATCTGTGCGTAAAACACGCTCTTTATAATTTACGCACGTACAATTCTGAATGAGACGTTTTCTCAAACAATGCCATGGCTAAACTAAACTATAGACAAAAATGCATTAAACAGCGCAATCCAAAGTGAAAATCCCTTCAAAGCTGAGTCGTTCTTTGTTCGTGTGAGAAAGGTTATATTTACGCTTCCTGGCGTAAACAGCGCAGTGTGGTTACTGATCCGACAGTTCCTTTTCTGGGAAAGAGGATTACCAAAAAAAGGTGTCTACAGAACGCCCGGGATTGGCTGTAGTAGGTTGACGTAAGCAGCCAGCCGGGTGAAACATTTATTTATCGGTTTGAGCACTTCATTAAGCAATGACGAGGCGCATATTGAAAATCATTAGGGTTGTGGGAGGGGTGGGTGGGGTATTGGGTAAAATCCGTTCCATCTTGAATACAAAAACATCCTCGTTTAATTTATTCATTGATGCTCACAAATATATCGTTTTTCTTCCAGTCCCTATGAATTCCTGATGTTGAGAACTTGTGTTCATAACTAATTTCTGTTTTATTGGGCAGTGGGTGGCTTAGCAGGTGGCAGGTGGCAAGCTGAGATTTGCATCTCTGCTCAGACCCTCCTGTGTGGCATTTGCATGTTCTCCCGACGCTTGCGTGCGTTTTTTTTTAAATTATTTGTCTTCCTCCCACGTTCTCAAAACATCCCAATAACACTGGATACTCAAAATTGTCCATAGGTGCGAATACAATCACCTTTTGATAGAGTAAGCCCTTCTGCAAATAATGAATAAAATGCCAACTAACCCCTTAAGTTTATAAATGCCTACATTCATAATTTAAACCATAAACGTGTCTCAAACTAGGATCCCAAAATAGTTTTGTATCTATTCATCTTGCAACATTAGACTTGAAATGGCCTACAGATTATTTGATTCAAAAAATAAAATAAAATCGGATGTACATGGAGGACAGTAAAATGACAAAGCATGTCTCTCAGTCTAAATGGCCCTTCAATTCCCGGGTGCCATCTGGTGGCATAAAAAAAGAGCACAAAACAGCAAATAAGTGAGTTTCCAGAAAAAACAAAACAAAAAAGAAAACATGATAGGTTCCCAATACATGTGTGCTTATGGTGTTTTGCTGGCAACCAGTCCTTTGATTCTGACTCAATCAAATTAGATTTTTTTTTATGTTGGCTAAATCACCAACATAAAACGAGTAAGCAATAACATGTAGCTATATAGCCGTTCAGGCTCAATTCTAAATGCACACGTAAGGCGTATAAGGGGTGAGGACACAATACATAAACAATTAGCAGCAACTAACCGCTTGGTTGTGAAAGGTCAATAAATCCTGGTGGGCAGACTGGAAGACACACTGCTGAGCATTGAACGTGGCCTTCAAATGATACAGTCGCTCGCTAACACACATATGGATGCACTACAATCTAGGATCTGGAGGATTCTGAGAATTGAAAGATTGTTTAAATAATTGAAATTCATTTTTTTCAGCTATGGCAAACTACTAACGCAGACATTTTTGTGTTCCAGTCCAAATCAACCAATACGAATACAGTGATGTCTAAGATCCATATTAACAGCCCTAAGTTGTTGATCAGTACTGAGTCCCTGAACAAAAGGGTTCTCTCCACGAGAGAAATGAAAGAAAATGGAAATCTGTTTTTTGGTTACTAGGTGACCAAGACAAAAGATGTGAGGGGGTAGGGGGGGTTCTATCGCAGTTCCCCCCAAAATGGGAGCAAATGACTGAAAACAATGATACAGACTTTCGTTTCAAAGAGTTCTCAGAAAAATATAGGACGGCTTGTTAGTCTGCTTGAAGCACAGGTAACAGTTTATTATGCAGACCATGAAAGGAGAGAGGCTTTCGATGCATGAATAGGTTTTCAGAGTATTGTCAGTCTATGGGAGAGTGCGCTCCTCTCTATGTGTGATCCAGCTACACTAAGAGGTCGTCAACAGGCTGGATCACCGTGCTGAGAAAACACATGTCTAATGGACACATGAGTGGTCTTTTATAGATGCAGAGCCGGTGTTTTTTTTTTTTTTCTTCACACCTCTTCAAAACCAAAAAAAAAAAAAAACTCAGATAATGAAACAAACAAGAGCCTTGCAATAAGCCTGTGATATATCACTTTTAGCAGATAATCATTACCTGGGGAACAGTGTGTGTGTGTGTGTGTGTGTGTGTGTGTGTGTGTGTGTGTGTGGGTGTGGGGGGGGGGGGGGTGACACA